ACACACACACACACACACACACACACACACACACACACACACTGACTGAGGTCACGACTAACGTAAGGGCTTTTATTTTGCCGGAAAAGCCACCCGCTGCTCCCCGTGTGTTTCGGTAGCTTGACAAAGCTGTGACCACGAATGAGCCAATCGGCTGTGGAAGGCAGAGTTGTCCCTGTGGCCGCCATTAAAGAAAGGAATCCTTGAATTTAAATGGAAACCAACAGGAACCGAGGCTGAAATAATGATCCAAATCTTCATTACAACGCAAGCCGGCGCTGATTTCGAGACGTTTTTAACAGGATGTACATCATTTTTAAGCTAAATTTTGCGATGGAGGAGTGAGACGAGGCGTTTCAAATGTTTTGTTTTTAAAGCGGACACCGATTTAGGGCTCTAAGGGGGAGGGGGAGAGTTGCTTCTTTTGCTCTCCTTTTCTTTTTGTTTTATGAACATTTTACGCTGCTTTTAATATGCCTATAYTGCGCACTTTTGAGATGCCGATATAATTGAGACAACACCGTCTCTTTTATCCGCTTTTAGCTCCGGCGGAGGAAAACTGCAGTCAGAAGGTTGTTGAATTAACTCTCCTTCAAAAGCCAAATGTTACAAAAAATATTTATGTCTGATTAGGCTTGGACATAACAGTTAACACAAACCATCAAAATTCGTTCTTTATTTCCCTGGACGTGAAACGATGGGGAGTTGGATCTCGCAGTGAGGAAGGATGAGTTCTTGTTTTGTACCTAACGGGGCCAGCTTGGAGGATTGCCATTCCAATCTATTCTGTCTGGTAAGAGATTTAAAACTAAAGGGAAAGCAGCCATTTTTAACTAGCTGAGCGGGGCTAAGCTAACGTTATCCTCAGTTAGCTAGGCTTATGGCCCTGTCAAGCTGACATCATTTTAGGACAAGCTTTTCCACTTCGCTAAAATGTTCCTGCGTGTGTATTTATTTTTAACAAGTTGAACTGTTCCGACAATTCTGTTGTCTTAAACTTTCTTTTCCAAACATTTTTTTCTTCTTGTTCGCAAACTAAAACCACTTGAACGCTCCTCACTTTTAAATCTTAAATGACTACATTCCAGTGATGTTTTTAAGACCAGAAACCTCTCCGGGATCATTTCGTAGCACTTTCTCTCATTCTCCTCAACACCTTGTTTACCATTAACTCAGTGTTTATTTCTCATTGCGTTGCTGTTAGGTTTTATCAGGGGTTTGATCCACAATCCGAACACTGATGTACTTTCTTTTGCGGAGCAGCTTTTACTAAAAAGTTCGAGTTTAAAGAACCTGTTCATTCAGAAACTGTTTTTGTTTTTTTCCCTCAAACGAACCACAGCTCCACTTGTCCTCGCATGCCTCTCCATAAAGCCTTTCCACGAAATGATTGTTTTGTTGTTGTTTTTATTATAAGGAACCTGATTGTTTCTAACAGTATTTATGTGTCATGGCAGGGTTTAGATTCTAATGTTTGCACCCACTAAGGRCACACTGGCTTGATTGCATAATCTTTGGCATCAAAGACAGCAACAGCTTCTCATGAACTAGGATGAAACTGAGCTACTCTRTAGTGTTCTCATATTGTCGTGTTGTGGCAGGTTAACATAATCCTGAATAACTGTGGTTGGGCTTCTACCCAGTTGATATTCTTTAAATCCCACGTGAGGGTGCATTAAGACTAATAGAGTGCAGTGCATTTTAGCCGTGACAGCAAATGTGAATTGCCTGCTTAAGTGTGCTGTCCCTCTTCCGACCAGATAATCAAGAGCAGAATCTAAGTGTTTGTTGTTGCAGTTAATTGGCTTGTCAACAGGCTTAACTACACTTGGATGGTGGACTGACAGYCTAATGTGCTCCTCTTTAATGTCAGGCTTCCCCGTAGGAAGTCCTTAATGTGATGATGGGAAGTGCCTGAATTCAGCCCTCTTCTTAGAGACTGAGAGTTTYGTATCTACTTTTTCTGTTGAGTAGTGACAGTAAGATACTGTAAAATGCCAGGATTTTATGTGCATTTTGCAAATGGAGTAGTAATGCTGACATTAGGCACATTAATGTTAACAATGTAGAGAAATACTAGATGCAGACTGACACAGCTTCCAAGCTGTCCGCCCCCCTTAAATGTAACATTTCATTCCAGAAAATCCCTGCTCCTTAGTACTGCTCCATTGTGTCGATTGTGTGCACTGAACTCATAATTAYGATATTTACTTGAAGGCAGCACAGTGGACAGACTGGATGAAGGCTGGTAGTTGTGRTGCTGTGCCCGTCTGGTTGACATTTTCCTGCACACTGAGACTAAGCACAACACCACTGCTGTTATGACTCACTTGCTGAACAGAGTCCACTTTGTGGTTTTATGGCAAAAGAATGTGAACACATTGTGGTAGTTCACTTCCCCTCCGTTCTTCTGTGGACAATCTCCTATGGAATTTGATTTTATTGTTGTCAATACCTTTATCTTTTCGGTGCCTTTTGTTCATCCGACAAGGTGAACTTGGAGCATAAATTCACTTGATTTGACACACTTGTAGCTGCTTTGTGTTATATTTTCTTCTGTTTTAATGAAAGCATCCGGATTCAAGGAATTACCAGAAAACATTTGCTCAGTGGCTCAAATGAAACTTATTACATTTGCATTTTTGGGACCCCCAAAACATGCAAACGCAAACTTGTTAGTTTCATGCTGGCTTTGTGATGAAGTTAACTCAGGGTTAACTCATGTGACCCTGAGTTTTTAACCTAAAACAAAAAAAAAGTATGACAGATATAAATCAGAATGTCCTTACATACTCGAGTTTAAAAATGAAAAATAAATACGTTTGCCACTCTGGTCAACAATCAACAATATATAAGTGCTGTTGAGAACGGTGCCTTCTGCAATTGTGCTGTTTGCTCATGGAAAAAGAAACATGGTTTCTGTAAAAGAGGAGCATTTGTGGCATGGTTTAAGCAGCTTCACCTGTTGTTTCATATCTTGAAAGGCAGGAAGGCAGCTGTTTGCACACACTGTTCCCTATTCAGGCCCACAACTCCCAAGTTGCCAGAGGGAAGGTGAGCAGCTGGCAGAATCCGAGGTCACATCCTCTGGCCGAAGCATGCGTCACCTCAGGAACACTTCTAGCCTGTATCCAGTGGCTTCAGCCTAAGTCTCTCTCTGCTAATGCACTAGTGTGAGTCTTGGCTTTGGCATAATGAAATCTAAAACGGCTCATGACCAGCCTTGCTCACCCTGCTGGGATGTTTTCGGACTGCTCTCACATACCTGAGCATTTGCTGAAATACAGTCAGGAAGTAAACAGTGTGGCTTCATCGTGCGGAAGATTGAAGCACAGCCATCTGAGGGAAATAATCCGAATTATTTGGCATTTGGCTTTTTTATCCTTTGCCTGTAATTTGTTTAAAAAYGACAAACAGCACAATTGCAGAAGGCACCGTTCTCAGTTGCACTTATACGTATATTGTGGATTGTTGACCAGAGTGGCAACCGTATTTATTTTTCATTTTTAAACTCGGGTATGTAAGGACATTCTGATTTATATCTGTCATACTTTTTTTTGTTTTAGGTTAAAAATCAGCTCTAAGAGAAAAGCAGCATCCTCTTAATTCTCAGATACATATAGACAACATAAGGTTATTAGATTTTAGTTTCAAGATCCTTCATTTCAAATGGAATTTACTGAAGATACATTGTTTACGCAGTTTATACAGCATTCAGCTTCAGATTGGTAAATGATCTTTGTGTATTTGTGTTTTGAACAAAATGCTTTAAGGTRCATTCTTCTGCTGTACAACAAAATAACTCCAGTCATTCTTGATTTTAATCTGCTTATTGTTTGTGTTATAAGTTCTCATTGTTTACATTGATATCTGGTGCTAGTGTGTTTGACAAACAGTGAAACCAGTTGACTAACTTGATTTCAAAACAGAGTTTGCTGGAGTTCTTACAAATGAATCAGTTTCTGAYAAGGTTTCTTCAGACAAGCTTCCCCACTTCTCCCAGCAAATACTAATTAAGAGCTACTGGCTAAAATCACTGTAATTCATCTTCTTTTCAGTCTGTCAAGACCCAAACAGAACAGAGTAGAGCAGAAATGGCAAGTARATTATACTTCCCATCTTTACTRTTTCARTTCACAAGGTTTGGTTTGTTTGACMAAGTGCAGTGTGAATGTGAACAAGCACCAACTGAAAATGTAAACAATGTTGCAGTTAGGGCTGGGCGATATGGACTAAAATCAATATCACGATATATTGACCAGTCACCTCGATAACGATAAATGCACGATAACGCTTACTGCCACCACCCACCACCACACCCAAGTACACGGTATAGTATAGTCATAACACTGTGTGCATGGTCTTWTTCAAAGTACACAGTTTAGTTTTCTCTAATGAAGCGTTATACAAATATTTTAACCTGAACCATTTGGACCAAAGGGATTTRTAAGGAAGAGTTTGATTTTGAACAGCTTGTCTGTAGTTTATACTGTATTTGTCATTTTAGTGATTTTTAAAATATAAAAAATTAAACATTTTTGGCGAGACTTGAGTCATATATAGTCATATAAATATTTCATAACTTCATAACTTTTCAGCGCWAACACATGTATGTRTGTACTATAATTTTGTTTTTAAAAATWTACCAAACATGTCTTTTGTACTGCACAAAATAACTTAACTACATTTTTTATTTGTTAGACTGACTGATTTCTCCATTAAAATATTTCTTTCAAAACGATTATATCATTTAGAGAGCTCATGGTAATCATTTAATTCTGTTTATTCTTCAAATTTGATCATTTATTGAATCACAGAGCAGTTCAGTCACCGTAAGGTTCTAAATTTAATGTAAATATGTGATTATTATTTTTATTTTATTTATTTTTTGTTTTGTTCTGCGCTTCTGTTTCCTGTATGTAGTGTATATAAACGTGTGCATAACAGTATGCGGTCTTCTCGCGAGAGATTACGTGAATTGCCAGTCACATTTCAGAGTCGAGTTGTGCACGAGACAACTCTGGTTCTGTTGCGGTGTTGTTAAAGCTGCCCAGTTGTTTCATTTGCTGAAAGTAGTGGCGCGCGTTCTGCGCCAAGTACAAACCGAGCCGAGACCGCCTGGTGCGCTGCAGCGCACACATGGTGTGAGTCAGATTCACTGTTGTGTTTGTCCCATATTGAAGCAAAGATGAATCTCCGTTTAACGTTTACCACCTCATCCTCACCAGGAGAACGGCACTATGTTCTCCAGGTGAGCATTTTTCATATGTTTCTATAGTTTATCAGTCTCATTTTTCACTGCTTGTTTATATGTAGAACCATACTGTGACAGGGCTGCTCTGTGATAAACGTAATTCAATAAATGATCAAATATGAAGAATAAACAGTATTAAATTCTTGCATGAGCTTGAACAATTTAAATAACTGTTAAAATAAACCATCCATCCATCCATCCATCCATTTTCTGTACACGCTTCTTCCTTTTCAGGGTTGCGTGGGTCACTGGTGCCCATGTCCAGCAGTCACAGTGCGAGGGGCAGGGTACACCCTGGACAGGTCGCAAGTCCATCACAGGGCCACACATAGAGACAAACGAGACAAACAACCATTCACTCTCTCACTCACTCACACCCTAGGGACAGTTTAGAGTTATCAATTAACCTAACAGTCATGTTTTTGGTCTGTGGGAGGAAGCCGGAGTAACCGGAGAGAACCCACGCATGCACGGAGAGAACATGCAAACTCTACCCAGAAAGGTCCCCGGACCGGGATTTGAACCGGTGACCTTCTTGC